TTACCATTTTCTGCTGCTTTTTGATACCAATGAAAAGCTTTTTCTAAATTCTTTTCTGTTCCTTCTCCATATTTATAACATATCGCTAAATTAAACATTGCATTTAATTCACCACTTTCTGCTGCTTTTTGATACCAATGAAAGGCTTTTTCTAAATTCTTTTCTATTCCTTCTCCATTATAATATTTATTAGCTAAATTAAACATTGCTTCTTCATCCCCATTTTCTGTTAATTTTTCTAAAGAATTAATACATCTTTTACACCATAATTCATTAATAAAAGGTTTATTGCAATATAAACAATTTTTGCTGTTTACTGTATCTGTTTTATTAGTAGTTTCCATATTGGTTATTTTAAAGATTTATTTTACTGGAAAAAAAAAATTAATTTTTTTTTGTGCTATGCATGTCGATGAATAAGGAATATTTTAACCAAAAGTAGAAGTCTCTATAAAAAAAAAAAATATTTTTTTCGGGCTATATTTTTTCCGATGCACTAATCAGCATTGAACATGCCAATAATTTAGTCAATTTTGGTATACTAATTTCGCCCGAATCCGATATGGAATTAGGATCCAAATGATTACAATCAAAAAAATTCCGGATGTTGATCAATCGGACCCGGTTCACCAGCCAGAATCAATGGAACTAGGAGCGAAAATTAGTATGACCGCCAATAATTAAGTAGTCAATTTTTCCATAATAAAATGTTAGAAAAAAAACAAGTTTAATTTTTAAAAAGTTTTAAGAAGCATCTTTATCATAATTTTCTCCAATAAAATTGAATATTTTCGCAAATAAAACTTAGTATATAGATGTACAAAATCATTATACTAATAATAATTAAATTATTTCGCTTTGGATTTTCAAAAATGTGATAACTTGCATTAGTGTTGGTGTTACATTCAATAGTAATTTTCTCTGTTCTCAGAAATTTGACGATAAATGATTATTATAAATTAAAAAATTCAGTTATACTCACAAATACAAATAATATTAAAAAATTTTATAGGGCATTGCTTGAAAGCCATTAACTCTAGATGTAAGGAATATTAGGAAGTAAAAATAAAGATATCATAGGTTTAAAAAAATTAATAAGGATAAAATATATAAACTATTCCTTGAAAAATAAATGTTATTTCTTACAATTTGATACGTAAAATAATCATGATAAAAAAAATTTAGCTCAAAAATAATAATTAGTCCGTGATTCACCATCCAACACATGACGTCATGACGATGTAAAAAACCACTACCCTCCCTATAAAAAAAAAATTCTTTAAAATGTACTTAAAATATACTTATGTATTTTTTAAAATATACCTAAAATATACTTAATATTTTAAAATATACCTAAAATATACTTAACATTTTAAAATATACTTAAAATATACTTAAAATTGCAATTTTAAGTATATTTAAAGTATAAAATTTTGCACTTAAATTATACTTAAATTATATTTAAATTGCAATTAAGTATATTTTAAATGTAATTTAAGTATAAAATTTTATACTTTAAATGTACTTAAAATTGCAATTTTAAGTATATTTTAAGTACATTTAAAAATTTTAAGTACATTTTAGATATATTTTAAAATATATAAGTACATTTTAAGTATATTTTGAAGAAATTTTTTTTCATAGGGCCTGGATGTATCCGGGGTAACTACCCAGAATTTTTGATCAGTACGGCGCTTCATACAACAGTAACCTATTATGAATATCGTTGGGTATTTTCTATTTTAAAAGCTTTATTTTAAAAAATTTTGATAGAAATTTTTTTTTTTGTTTTAATAGTTTGTGTTTGTGACCTTCAATTAATCGACTTAGAAGTTTCTGACAAATACAATTTAGGTTACTGATCTAGTAGTATATAAATGGGTTATTATTCAAAAAATAATGAAGGTCAGTAAATGACCTTTTTATCATCCTGGATATACTAATTTGTCAGTCAGTTTATAACTGGCGGAAAAAATCCTCGATACCAATTATTAACCAGGTCCTGATAAGTAAGTACAATTATAA